GGTGGAATAAGGCTGACAAATTTGGGAGCTCCTGGGTGGTGGTGGTTGTTTGGCAATAAGGAGTTAAGGTAGAAAAAATAACAGTGTGTTGGCTGGTCTCGGAAGTGGTTCTGAAGGCGGTGACTTGGTAAGACGATGGAGAGTGGCCAGAGGCTGGAAGAAGGGATGTTCTGGGGTCTGTTCTGTCCAAACACTCTTGAAGCAAGAGACAAATCCAGGACCTCCGAGGGCACAATCTCTTATGCCATTTTTAATGTTTTTAGACTAGTAGGTTTTGTTCGTTTTTACAAACCCTTCTTTAGCAATGCATAGCTAAAATAGGAAGGAAGTAAAGCTACTCTTTATCTGGGCCTTCCCTTGATTATTTCTTCTGAAAACAATGCCTAAGAAAACCTTTTTCTTTTCTTTTCTTTTTTTTTTTTTTTTTCTTTCTTTTTTTTTTTTTTTAATGTGCTGATGCAATTAGAAAAAGGTTAGGGGACTAAGTGATTCAACGGCTTTGGCCTGTGAGCAGACGGGCCATTCATGACTTCGTAGTTTCTAATTCACAGCAGCCTCAGATGAATTTCCTGCCCAAGCTGGTCTGCTTGTGGGACAAAAGCGTGGAGATGTGTTCGTTTCACGCCCCACTGGAGGCGCACACTGCTCAGGGCTGGCCCCTCTGGTGGCCTGTATTCATCAGTGGTTTGGCTTTTACAAATCAGGACAGGGAAACCCAGGGTCAGCAGCACGTAAATGCTTTCCTTCATACTGCTGGGACTCCGCCTCAATCCTTTTTATTTTGTAAGTAACCCACAAAGGTTTCAATTAGCTGTTTCCTGTTACTGCTTCCTACCAACAAAAATACCTTTGTCTGCAGTGATTTCCCCAACATGTTATGAAAAAGTCTGAAGGTGACTCCTGAAAGTTGGCCTAAGTCATTCATTCCCCTCCGAGGACCATTTTCATGTGGCTGCATTTTACCTGATATTCTACGGGCTCTCACAATCAAAGACTAATTAGGTACCTGTAAAGTAATACTCAACCTGGGGAAAGGTGCTAATGCCCCTGCAGGCGAGAGATGCCAAGTGTCTCATTTCATTTTAACTTCAGCTTTAGCCCTGCCTTTGTGAAAGAAATGCTTCTGCAGTTACAACTACCCTAGCTTCAGCTCAGTTACCTCACCTAAGGTAGTCATGGAAAAGGAGCGGAAAGGGAGAGAGCTAGCTACCAGGTGGGGAGGAGAGATGAATCTGAAAAGGAGGCTTGGCACCATCTCAAAAGCATACCATCAGCAATAAAAAAGATATTTAATTTTATTTATTTTTTTTTAAAAAAAGCAGATCTGGGGCTTAGGAGCCAGCAAATGGGCCATTTACAAACTCTGCAGAGAAGAAATAAGAAACCAATAAACTAATTTCAAAGAGTGGGTGATGAGGCATAGCTATTACTTGCCAAGATTTCTCTTATTAAAACTATAGTATTCTTTTATATTAAAAAAGATATATGTTTAAAATACTAAGAGATAATTGAACTTATAAGCAAATTTCCTGAAATATTAAAAGTAAATGCCTAGTCATTATGCATTCTGTAAGAGATAGTGTTGACCTCAGTTTAATATAAATTTATAAAAGTGGCAAAAAGTCTATCTGCTTTGATTTAACACCGTTGATTCTATGGTAAATTTCACTATTTTATCTCTCTTAAGGTATCTGATCCACCTCTTTATATGCCTCTTTATATCCCAGCCCAAAAGGATGAAAATTTGTACTAATCCCTACTATAGCTCTTTCCAAAGCCATGCTGATTTTTTTTTTTTTTTTTTTTTTTTTTTTTTTTTTTTTTTTTTTTTCTTCTGCTTTATGTGTGTGTGTGTGTGTGTGTGTGTGTGTGTGTGTATGTGGAGGGGGACATCAGTATACCTCAGTAAGTGGTGATTTCTAATAAGGAGAGTGTGCCCAACCCTGTGCCTGAGGAGAATGCTTCCCACATACACACACATGGATGCATATTTACTAGATAAATGAATGAACACCTTCACCCCAAGCCCAAGGCTCCTTCCTCTCAGCAACCCTCCCACTCAGGGCAACCACTATCCTAACTTCTAAGACCATAAGTTGGTTTAGCCTGTTTTGTACTGTCATAGAAATGGAAACATACCCTATATACTCTTTTGTGCCTTATGCCTAATTTTAAATTTAAGACTCAACCCAAATCTCAATTGAGTGAATCCCAGCTCAACATTGTACTGTGTGATTTTAGACAAGACTCTTAACCTAAATCTGTTTTCATCCATAATAGTGGATTATAATAAGGTTTACCTAGTAGAGTTGAAAGAATTAAATAATGTACATGATTGGTACATGGCTTCAGCTGCTATGTTGTCCAATATTAGTGTGTGAACTTCTGGGTTGTGCTAACCCAGCAATTTCCTATAGTATAGAGGGGATGGGGAATCCACACTATCCAAGTAGTGACCAACCATTTCCTTATTCTCAAATGAGTACCCACAAATAAAATACTCAACTTGGCTATTGATCTCACTTGCAGCCAAAGGAAAAGATATGAATACTTATTCATCTCCCCTTCTAGGACATCTGCTTCCTTAAGGGAAGGGGTCATGTCCCGTTTATCACAGTATCTCTAGGACCTAGCACCAGGTACTGTAAGCACTCAGTTATGTATTGATTGCTAGATGAAAGAATAAATAATTGCTAATCGTATTGGGGTTTAGGAAATTATGTCAGAATCTGGCCCAATCTTTTGAGCTCTGGATTGGCAGAATGGAAGTAGTAAAATCAGAATAAAGTCAATTTACCCTCCCTTCCCTCTTTCCCCGTGCTGGCCAGGAAAATCCATTCCAATCTAGCACATTCTGTACTTGGAATTAGAATAAGCACCCCAGGCCGAGACCTTCAGAAATAAGGACAGTGGACTACCCTGCTTTCACTACTGAGTTTGCTCAAATTCAACAGCTTTTAATGTACTAATGCCAATATACTACAAAGTTAAAAAAAAAAAAAAAAACTCTCTTCCCAACACATCAGCCATAAATAATTTCCCCCCGGTGCATTTTATCTTGGTGTGTGATGTATTTCACATATTCTTGACCATATCCATTGTTTTAAAGCAAGAAAGGGGGGAAAGTGTAATGTTCGGATGAAATTTCATTTGGTTCATTTCACCCTCCAGTACTTACTTAAAAATAATTTTTCACTTCTCACAGAGTGAAGTGCCTCTTCAAAAACTACCATTTTTCACTTCTCACAGAGTGAAAGTGCCTCTTCAAATACTACCATCTGTGTTATATTACAGTTAAAATTCTGATTGGCTGGCAAGCCCATCACTCTATAACTGGATAAATCAAGCAGGAAATAGCATGATTATAAAATGAGCTAAAATATTTTCACAAAATAGTTTACTGACTATAAAGCAAAACCACTGTCATGCAGATAACTAGTAAACCAAAGCTATTTATAATCTGTTGCATAAAAAAGTATGGTTAATATTCTTTAAGTCATGACTAATTTTTAAAAATTCTTCAATTTAATACTTACTGAGATTTTCTAAGTACCCTGCTAAACACATAGCAACGCCTACTTTTCAAACCAAAGTCTAGTGGGAGTTTTATGGAAGCACTAAGATAATGAGAAAATGATTCACAGATCTGGGCCCTGCAGGTTGAGTAAGATGTTAATACGCTAGGGGAGACAAACGCAGTGATGCAGAGAGAACATTGCACACACAGGCATGGAAACAGGAGCATGCCCATAAATGTTCTTGTCACCAGTCCAGATTAGGAAGTGAAGAATTATTTAGTTATCAGACAACTATGGAAGGTCTCTGAATACAAGAAATATGACAGATCTGCTTTCTATATGTTTCTTTATGCTTAATACTAGAAAATTCATGCACTAGAGGCGGGAATCCCTCAGCCTGGCCTGCCCCCTCTCACAGTCCGGGAGCCCTCAGGGGCAGGAGGCGACCTGGCGATCAGGGGAAGGTGATGCCCCCTCACACCTCTGCTGCTGCCACTGCCGGCAGCACAAGCCTCGGCCAGCCCTGGGCGGCTGGGCAGCTAACATCTGAGGCTTGCCTGCACCTTGGGCTGGCTCTGGGTGGCTGGAAGACTGAGGGGTCTGAGGGGGACTCTGGAGGCAGATGCGAAGAACTGAGGAGACTTGGTGCCACCATTTTGTGGCTATGGGTGCCACCATCTTTGAGGGTGGGGCAATTAACATATTCCCTCCTTATTGGCTGTGGGTGCTACCATCTTTGAGGGCAGGGCAGTCAATTAGCATATTCCCTCTTTATTAGCTAGTATAAGATGTCTGCCTTGTCCTCTCAGCAGTTACACTGCACACTTGCTTCATGTGTCAGTCTCACACTTAATATAAGCAGTCTACTGAGAGGTGAACTCATTTCTGGCGATGAATCCATCAAATTTATGAGCTTAGAAAGCTAAAGGTGACATCTGTATGAATTCACCCAGGCAATGTAGTAATGCACAGACCTGACTAGTGAACCAGTTGGCCTTGCCCAGGTGATGCCCAGGTGACACCGAGATGTCACTGAACGGTTTCTTTATGTGTCTGAAGAAGGGAGATCTGAGTGATTAAGTGAAATAATCCAATTAAGTAATTAAGGAATGGAACTAGAACAGTGGTCTTATGCAGGCAGAGAATTTACAACAGATTTCAATATGAGGGGTGAGGGAAGGACAGGAGACTTCTCATTAGATGATCGAAGGGAAGGCCACACCACTAAGGGGCAGAACAAAGGCAGGGCAGGTCTAAGTTGAGAAAAAGAAGACATGATGTATTTAAGAGGACAGAGAGTCACACTATTGAAAGATAGTTTCAAGTATGGCTCAGAAAGAGGCTCAAGAATTGTGTTAACAGATAGAATCACCCATAAAGGGAGTCCTAAAGGAGAATAGAGCTCTGATGACAGAATTTTGGGGTAAGGTTCAATGAATAGCAAAACACACAAAACCAAAGGGAAATGAGCAATGCCAAATGAACTTGTACACAAATGCTTTATTTCTAATGTTAATAGTCAACACTGTAAGCAAGATTCCCTCGCAATGAAAAGTTTTTCAATACATCAAGAAACTCAATTTAGTCAGGGTAATTGCTGTATTAATATGAAAACCTTACAAGGAAATACAGTATTATATATGTGTACTAGTTTCCATGCAAGTATGGCTGCTACATGTACGTCTGGCATTTTTATAACATACCGAAAGAAATTCAAATGATCACAACAGTATAAAGGTGACTTAAGATGCCTGACATGCTTAAGATTTTAAAAGTTCTTGCAAAAAGCAACAAAGCAGTTAACTGAAGGATTCAACCAATACCAACCCAAGTAGTACTATATCCAATAATCCCAGGCTTCTTTGCAATATGCTACCTTTGGAGTAATTTAATGCTTAAGAAAAATTATGCTTTAAAAAATATAGTTCTCCTAAAATATTATACTTTGGTGATTGGATACTATGTACATCCAAGGGCTACATAAATTAAAAAATAATTAAAAAAGCAAAAAAACAAAAAAATGAACCATTATGTGCTATTAATTCAAGGCAACTAAAATTGAAATGATCCAGTATATTTTTGCTACAATCATTTGGTTTTACAAAGTGAAATTTCTATGAGAATTCACTAATTAGGAAGCAATCAACATACTTAACAAAGATGCTAAGAAGATTCCAATTGGTCCATTTATTTGTTATCAACAAGGCATAATCTTAGTACTAGACATTTTCTTCACTTCTCACTACATCTGATATGCAACAATGAACTAGTGGATTTAAACAGCTTAAAACTCTATTAGGTCTACTATTCAAGAGCTAGGCATTAAAATACTTAGTATTTCCATTTCTATTAACATGGAGACGTTAGAAAATCTTAAGCTGTTTTTGTCTTAAAGGCATAGTATTTTGGTATTTGCAAGAATTTGCCTGGTAATGGTTGATTCCATTAAGTTAACTTGAGAACCTGCCATCATTTGCTTTTTCTCTTTTCAAACAGTGAAGTGGTGGTTGCTCTTTCCTTCTCTCATAGCAGCATACTTCAGGGGTGGAGAGGGAGAGAGTGTGTCAATTATAAATAAAAATTAAAACTACAGTGTACAATTCTATTTACCTGTCAGTGTTTAAGTTGACAGCACACTATTTCATGTCTCAAAAATATTACATAAAATCTCTACACAAAAAGCAAATAAAGACATTCTTTCAAGAAGAAAAATAAGTGCAAACACCTAAAACAGGCAACTGAAGCAATTGTTGTAACCTGTAGAGAAACACAAAACATTTTTTTAAAGGACAAAATATTTTTATAAATAAAAGATAATGTTCTCTATTTCTGAAACATATAGTAATATAACAAACTTCTAAGTGCAAAACTGTTTTTAGGGACCAAAGTACCATATTATTTTTTAAACAAAATGCAAAAATTTCAAACACATATACAAATTACCAGATTAATTTATATGAACCCTCCCCGTATAATTTTAAAAAAAAATATTAAATTATTATTTAGTACATTTTTAGAACTACTTTGTAACCAACATGATTTAAAGGGCATAGTGCAATACTTAGGTAGATGTGACAAACAGTATAGATATTATATTCTTTGCAGCTATAACTTATTGTTTCATACTTAAAAGTCAAAATTGTTCTTATGTTAGCTATAACAACAGGAAACAACACTGGCTTCTAGACACCCTGTATAGGTATAAATATCTACATTTAAGCTTTAAAAATGAAAATAAATTATAAAAACAGACTTCTTTCCAATTTACAAAGTTTTCCTGCTCCAATATACTGTACAATACATTCAACAAACTCTCAGATCTTCTGAGACTTATGAAAAAAATACTGACTCTTTACAAAATAAAAAACCCTTTTTCCATGCATTTTGTTTTCAGTACTATGCTCAAATAAATACATTTAACACTGTAGTTAATTTTATTGTTTTTGAAAAATACCAAAATTTAGTAGTGCAACGTTCTATCCTTCAACTTCCTTTCCATTGTGTTTCTTTGTAAATGGTAGGCTAAATAAATCAGCACGTTGGCAAAAGTACTTCATAAAACCATGTGTGCTTCCCATACAGACTAATTTCAGAAATTACACATACTCTGTAACGAAACTGCAGCATTAAGAGAGTAACAACATATATCTTCTGAAGAAAATATGTGAGAATTTGCTTTTAGAATATCCATAAACAGTCTAATATGATTTTTTCCATCTTGCTCTTTAAAAACAATTTTAAAAAATCTCATATCTTAAAAGATAAATTACAAAACTTCCTACCCCTTAAGCGGCTTAGCTTTCTGCCTGCTTAGTATGAATAAAGATGCAAACCGTTTTAGGGCTGTATTAAAACCTTAAAAACAATTAATTGACACAAATTTCATTGCAACTTAATTTAGTATAGGCTATACTTAGGGAGTGGGGCATTTCATCAGCTTTAATAACAATTACAGTATGAGAGCTCTTGAAGTGCTGCTGGTAGCTGTGTAAGTGCTCAAGTATCTTCTTGCTTGTTCAGTCATGATGAGTTGGTCTTCTGTCTTCCCATAAACCACTGTTTCCCATTCACAGTTTGACTAGAGAGGAAATATTAATAGTAATGTTAAAATTATTAAAACAATTATCCATAATACTTCACAATTACACGATTAAAAGGTAATTATTTTAAATGATTGGATATTTGATAAGTAGTTATAAAAATGTTTGGATAATGGCATTGTGATTCTTTTTAAATAATGTTATGCTTTAAAATTACATACTGAAATATTTATGGTCATTTCTTTGGCTATCTATATTGTTCACATGCCTGTGGAGACAGTTTAAAAGCTTTATGTCTTGGAAAGTAAGAAATACAGTCATAGCACAAAGCCAAGTTTATGTTTGTTTCATGTGTTTTCTGCCCTTATTATAAAGATTATTACCTTATAGGTATGACCTGCTGTGTAATAAATTTTCCTGAAAAGCTTTGTATTAAACACTAGGAAATCCAATTATCTTAAATGAATTAAGAGAATATGCTGCAAGGCTCTTTGAGGGCATTGGCTCAAGACAGACATGAGGTGGCTATACTTGATTGCCAAAGATGTTTTCAAGGAATGCTTACCGTATTTTCCGGCATATAAGACGACCCCCTAATTTTTACAGTTAAAGCATAGGTTTAGGCCTATATTCGCTGTATAAGACTACCCCCCACTTCTGAGGCAACACCAGTTCTTTTTTTAATAGACCAACTCTCTAACTCAGCCAATCCAAGCAGGCTTTTTATGCATGCAAATTATACATGTTCTGTACCCGAAGCTACACTGTGTTCTAGTAAAAAGCCTGCTCAGATTTGCCAGAGTCAGAGAGGCGGTCTATTAAAAAAAGAACTGGTGTTGCCTCGGAAGTGGGGGGTAGTCTTATACAGCGAATATAGGCCTAAACCTATGTTTTAACTGTAAAATTAGGGGGTCGTCTTATACGCCAGAAAATACGGTAAATGTCAGGGATGCCGGTGCTGCAGTCATTGTGGTATAAAAACTTCCTCCTCAATGAACTCTCAAATTCTCTGGTTTAAATTCTTAGATAACATAGTAAAAAATTTCCAGCCTTCATTTGCAACTACATAATGGCTGCATAGCAACTGTGGGGGGACATGGGACGGACTTTATTTTACAACTTTTGAGCCAAAAAGTTCACTGGAACCCCATTATATCAACAAAATCAAGCTGCATCTGATTCCAACTACTTACTCTTTCAAGCTATATTTATGTGTAATAGGAAAAGAGGTGCCAGAAGTGAATTTAGATATCTTTAGTTTAAAAATGAAATAATACACACCCCTATGTTCATTGCAGCATTACTTATAATGACCAAGATTTGGAAGCAGCCCAAGTGTCCATCAGTAGAAGAATGGATAAAAAAGCTGTGGTACATTTACACAATGGAATACAGTAGTACAGCTGTAAAGAAGGATATCTTACCTTTTGCAACTGCATGGATGGACCTGAAGAGTATTATGCTAAGTAAAATAAGCCAGTCAGAGAAAGACAAGTACCATATGATTTCACTCATATGTGAAATCTAATGAATAAAGTAAACTAGCAAACAAAATAGAAACAGACTTATAGATACAGAGAACAGGCAAGAGGGGGGTTGCAGGGCTGGGTGAAAAAAGTGAAGGGATTAAGTAAAAAAAACAAACAAACAAACAACAACAAAAACCACCACACACTCACCTCATAGACACCAACAACATTATGGTGATCACCAAAGGGAAAGGAGGTAGACAGAAGTAGAAGAGGGTAAAGGGGTATAAATGGTGATGAAAGGAGACTTGACTTGTGGTTGTTATACAATTGTGGTTGTTATATAATACAATATAATACAGAAGATGCAGTATAGAATTGTACACCTGAAACCTATATAATTTTATTAACCAATGTGGAAGGAAAAGAGGGAAGGAGAGAGGAAAAGGAAATGAAGGGAAAAATGCAATAGTGATCAGGAAATCACCAGACAAATCTCTCACTGCAATTCCAATTGTTAGTTTATATGTGGCCTGATAAAGGAGTCTCTCAAAAGCCCACTACAATTCCAATTGTCTAGTTTGAGTGGCAAAATAATAACGAATGTTTAGTTACTGTTATAGTCAATGTCTAATTTAAAGAGAAAAAGCATAATTTGTGATCAGTAAGTCCAAAGTGATAACTGAATAAACAATAGCAAAAATCATTAAAAGAAATTTATAAATTCATACCTGAAGATTCTTTTCCAATGTGACAACTTTGGAAGTGTTAGGGTTTGGTTTCTTTTTATTAAGTGTATATGTTTTGTTGGTTGAATTTATATCTTGTTTTTCAGGAGTCAAGTTGCACCTATTGTCATGTATTTCCAATAATGGTATCATTAATAAAGATGTTGTAAATATATTTTCTGACTAAGAGAGGGAAAAAAAGAAAGAGGAAAATAAAATAACTAATTCAAAAATAGTGACAAATAGAGGGACTATTGAGTAAGGGTAGTGGAAGCCTTGTTAATTTTCCTCTAAGAAATTTTTTGACTCTGATGAAATTTCTAGTAATGTAGTAGAATTAAATATTTTAGAAATGAGCCAAAGATAAATACTGAAATTTAAAGTTTTGGTTTTTTTTTGAAATTTAAAGTTTTAAGAACTATTTTTTTTATATCATCCACAAAAGAGACCCAACTCCTCTCAAAACAAAAACATATAAAAAGCAAGGAAGTAAAAAGAAATATTCTCTACAGTTACATGCTTCTTTCTGAATTAAGCAGAATAACTCTAAAGGAAACTTTATATGACGCTCTAATGAATAGAACACAATGACTAAGAAACAAGAAGCACTAGAACTCACAGCAACCATTATTTTTTAAAAAGCTTTACAAACCTGTGTGTCTGGAATGTCTTCAGTCAATAGCTGAGGACCTGGTTCTTCTTTTTCCCAATTATCCAAAACTAGTGATTTTCTGACTTTCTTCACGGAAGCAGTATGCTAGAATGAATAATTTATAATAAAAACATATGGAAAAGTCACTTGCCCATGATAAGTCTTTTAGTAACAATGACACCAAAAGATTACCTCTTGTTTGCAGCTTTTGTAAACAGGTTCATCTTCCTCTTTGAGGAATATGTCCGTTCCAGTTTCTTCTTTTAAAACTTCCCGAATATCTTCTTCCAGAAAGGCAAGTGGCTGTGACTAAATTGTTTTTTAAAGGGTTTTTAAAAAGTCTTTTATACCAATTCCTTTTTCTCCCATATAAAAACCCAGCTCTTTTACTTTTTCATTAGTGGCTTTTCTCACAGTCCCCTTTTGATACATAAGTTGAATAAATTAATAAACTAACCAGGTTTTTGGCAAAAACAATATTGTATTAATACCTTGTAAGCATTGAATGAAGCGTGGCACTTTTTCACATATATATGAACTATTGTTGCCTGCACTATTATTAAAATTATCTTATTAGAGGCAACTAATTAAGCACATTTTACTTAAAACTTAGCTCCACCAGATTTACTTCTATTATCTCTTTTATCTTCACAATAACCCTCTGGAGTGCATTTTATCAAATCCATTGAACAGAAGAGAAAACTGAACCTTAAAGGGATATCCTGATCAATCAATTTTAAAAATATTAGGAAAGTGCTTATGTATATTAAAATATTAAAATTATTTTATTCTACTACAGATAACTACTACTGAAATTACAAAAAGCTTAGTTTTAGTGTTAAGAAAAGAGCTCTGCTGATACTTGGTTTGCTCTCTCTATGATATAGCATAAAGTAAAAATTCACAATAGCCAAGCAAAGGCTTATTTACAAGTCAAAAAAGAAAGATTTACACAAAGTCAAACTTATAAGAGACAAAATTTTTATCACCTTCAGTGAACAGCATTTTTTAAAATGTTAAAAACCAAGGATAAAAATAAAACTTTTTAAATTAAAATTAGGAAAATTCTTAAAAAGAGTATACATACCACAATTTTTAGCGGTCCATATTTTTTCTCCTGAGCAGCTAGCGCATTTTTAAAAGGAGTAGGAGTTCTTGGTGTGGTACCCAATATAGATCTTCTAATCGTAGGTGTTCTAAACCTATCCAATCATGTAGATATTTATATTACAATCAAAATTTGTCTTCATAGGAATTAGGAAGGTAAAATCATGATAAAAAGCACACACTAAATTTATCTTGCATATACACATGCTTTATTTAAACACTAGGGGCCCAGTGTATGAAATTCATGCATGGAGGTGGAGGGTGGGAAGGGTCCCTCAGCCCAGCCTGCACCCTCTCGCAATCTGGCCAACTGGTTCGTAAGCACTCACCTGTCTGCCTGACTCATCAACCCCTAACTGCCTCTACCTTCTACCTGATTGCCCCTAAAAAACATTGCCTGCCTGCCTGCCTGATGCCCCTAATTGCTTGCCTGCCTGTCTGATCACCCCTAACTGCTCACCTGCCTGCCTGATCATCCCTAACCACTCTTCCTGCCTGATCGCCCTTAACTGCCTCTACCTCAGCTGCTGCAGCTTCATCCGGAAGGACATCTGGCTATCCAGTCTAATTAGCATATTATGCTTTTATTATTATAGATTACAGGACAATTGTAGAGTATGCCTGCTAAAACTAATTCTTATTCCAATCAATTATCTTAAAATAGAAAAGAGAACTAATGTAGGAAAAAAAAAACAGTAAAAATGTTGTTTTGCTTGAATTCAAAGTTTTATACTGCATTTAGTTGGTTTTCAGTCTTCTAAGAATAAAATGTAAGGTGACGATTTTTTTTTTCAGTTCTAAGTCCCATATGGATAGGGAATATGATATGTGCATAAATGGATAAAAAGTTAACCTATTCTTAAAATCTAATCTTCTAATTTTCTCTAACATAATTATTTAATATCTACTTACCCTACATTTTCCTTTTGATCTTTGGGAGTTGTTTCCTTATGAAGAGGAGTTGTAATAAGAACTTTCTGCCCACAAATAGGGGTTGATGTAAATGAAGGATTCTCTATATTAACTTGTTCATTTCCAGAGCATGTGTTAAAAAACTTAAAAAAAAATAAAAAAAAAAGTTTATAGATAATTTCTAGAACATAATTCTATTAAACTGATAAAATTTTCAAATTGTTTCCCAATTTTTCTAGAAAAGGATTGCCAATAATACCACATTTACATTCCGCTCCAGGGAAATTAAGCTCCAGGAGGGCAGGAATTTTTGTTTTGTTCATCACTGCCTTCCCAGAAATTAGAACAGTGTTTAGCACATAATAGGCATGCAAGAAATAGTTAACAAATATTCAAAAGTTAAGAAACAGTACAAAACCTTTAAAACAAGATGTTACCAAATAGAAATCCAGAAACCAGAAACAGCTCTTGTGTTAAATGGAACAGCTTTGCACAACAGTGTAACTGAAAAGAAGTTTTACTCATTTATTAATAAGTGATCTTAAGTGTCCTTTTCTGTGAGAATACTTTGAATTCAGAATAATGCTTTGCTGATGAGAAATACACTGTCTGGCAAATTTACTATTTACCACACAGCTCAGAACCTCCAAGCAGCCAAAACTGGTATCACACAGTCTATTTTCCAAATGACACACTTTACTCACTGGATCTTAACTTACATACAACTGTGAAGTACTAATTTATTTTTGTAGCTAATAGATTAAAAATAGAGGTAGAAAGAAGTGGAAATTGCCACACAGGATGAATTTTAGCTCTATCACTTTTGGATCCTAATATTTGAAAAATATTTAACCCTAAAATTAGCAGTCAAACCCTCTTAAAATCCTACAGCAATGCCCATCTTATCTAATAAAGAGGAAATATTCTAATTGACCATCACACCCTTACAAAGATGGTGGTCCCACAGCCACAAGATTGTGGTGCCCAGTCCCCTCAGCCAGACCCACCTCCAGATGGGTCCAGCTGCTCTCGTCCCTGCCTCCGGAGTCCCCCAGGGCCCTCAGCCCCCCAGGACCTGCCTGAGGTGCAGGCAAGCCTCAGATGTCAACTGCACAGCCAACACCCAAGGCACAGGCAAGCCTCGGAAGCCAGCTGCTCAGCCACCCAGGGCCACCCAAGGCTTGCACTGCCAGCAGTGTCAGCAGCAAGGTGTGATGGGGGCATCACCTTCCCCTGATCACCGGGTAGCCTCCTGCCCTCAGGGCTCCCAGACTGTGAGAGTAGGCAGGCTGGGCTGAGGGATCCCTGCCTCCAGTGCATGAATTTTCATGCACCGGGCCTCTAGTCAATTACAGGATAAAATTTAAGCTCTTTGCCATTGAATATGAGGTCTTTATAATCATGTCTCACCTTCTCAGCCACTTTCCACTTTAGAATTTACACTCCACCAAAAAATTACTAGTGTGCCCAAGCCTGTTTTACTTTCCTCTAGGAGCTTTGTAATTTTGAAGGCTGGGCTGCGGTTGGAGTCAGGGTCACACTATTCACATTACAATCTATGTAAATGACACCCCTTGAAGGAGGAGAAGGCACAATTTTCAGAAAACATGGTAACTGTGTCCTGCCAGACTCCCCTCATCTTCCCAACATCAAAACACCTCCAATAATATCTCAGCACCCTCCAAGTATATTTGAGCATTAAATTTCCTTCTTCTCCCATAAAATGTTTTAATCTCTGTCAGGACACCAAACACCAGCTCTATCTCTTACTAACCTGAACAACTTAACTTCTGAATTTCATTCCACTGAACTCCTAAGGTTTTTTGAAAGAAGATTAACTGAAATGTTATAATAAATGTATTTAGGCCCTACCCAGTTTGGTTGTGATTAGAGCTTTTTGGCCTGCAGACCAAAGGATCCAGGCTTGATTCCTGTCAAGGATATATACCTTGGTTAGGAGCCAACCAATCAATGTGTTTCTCTCACATCCATGTTTCTCTCTCTGTCTTTTCCTCTCTCTTCTAAAAATCTCTTCGCCCTAAAAATCAATGGAAAAAAATACCCTCAGGTGAGGACTAAAAATATATATGTATATATATATATATATATATATATATATATATATATATATATATATATTTTATTCATATTCTACAGAGATGAAGGGAGAGAGATAGAGAGCCAGAAATGTCGATGAGAGAGAAACATCAACCAGCTGCCTCTTGCACACCTCCCACCGGGGATGTGCCCACAACCAAGGTACATGCCCCCAACCGGAATCAAATCCGGGACCCTTCAGTCCGCAGGCCGACGCTCTATCCACTGAGCCAAACCAGTCCCGGCAATATATATATATATATTTTTAAGTGCATTAGTACTTAGCCTAAAACATAGTGTTCATTAAGAAAAAGACACAGAGTGAGAGAATCCAAGATGGCTGCTCGGGTAGGCAACTAGCCGCAGCCGCACACAACAATTTCAACAAAATACAACTAAAATATAAAATGGACATTACCCAGAACTACAGGAAAGTCGACTGACTGGAAATTCTACAACAAGAAGCAAGGAGAAAACCAGAAGGAAGCGCGGAGGAGCTGTAAAAGCCCAAGGTACGGAGACATGCGGCGCGCGCGGAGAGGACAGAGCCAGAGAGGAGGGAGGCCGAGTGCCTGGCTGGCGGTCCCAAGCGGGAAGGAGAGAAAAGCTCCGACTGTGCTGGGCCCAGCTCCAACTGCTCTGAACCCCAATTCTAGGCCAGACCCCGGGGACCCAGGCTCATCCATAGGGAGCCGGGCTGTAAGGCAGGACTCCGGGGAAGCGGCGAAAGGAGGTCCCGAAGGCGCGCACACTGCGCGCAGAGAAGAGCCAGCCGGCTGTGCAGCGGGATTGCCCTGACGGGAAGGAGACAGGGGCTCCAGACTGCTCTGAACGCCACCTCCAATCCCACTACCAACTGAATTGAACCCCAATACCGGACTCATTGGGGGAGAGCATAGACAGTTTGGCAGCAGGCGAAAATCGAGGGCACCTTTCTCTCAGAGGCGCTCGCAACAAGTACTGAAGGACCCTGAGTCTCAGGAGTTGCATAGGGCGGGGCTGACGGAAGCCAAGGCTGTAGGCTCCACCCTGAAACCCCGCCCCATCAGGAAAGCTGCCTGTGAAAATGCCTAAACCAAATAGATCACAAACGAAAGAAATGGAGGACAAAAAGCAACTGGATATAGAGTTCAAAACCACACTTATAAGGTTGTTCAAGAATCTCCTAGAAAAGGCCGATAAAATAAACAAGACCTATGAAGATATGAAAAGGGATCAACTAGAAATAATAAGGGATCAACAAGAAATAAAGAATACATTGTCTGAAATAAAAAAATATTTTATGGAGTCCTAAAAACAGAATGGAAGATCGCAAGAATCAAGTCAAAGATTTGGAACATAAAGAGCCAGAAGACACTCCTCCGCAGAAGTAAGAAGGCCAGAGAATCCAGAAAGTTGAAGATAATGTAAGAAACCTCTGGGACAACTTCAAGCGAACCAACATCAGAATTATGGGGGTCCCAGAAGATGAGAGCAAGATATCGAAAACATACTGAAAGAAATAGTGACAGAAAACTTTCCCCACCTGGTGAAAGAATTAGACTTACAAGTCCAGGAAGCGCACAGAACTCCAAACAAAAGGAATCCAAAGAGGACCACACCAAGACAAATCATAATTAAGATTCCAAGAGCAAAAGACAAAGAGAGAATATTAAAAGAAGCAAGAGCAAAGAAGGTAGTTACCTATAAAGGAGCACCTATACGATTGTCAGCTGATTTCTCAACAGAAACCATGCAGGCCAGACAGGAATGGCAAGAAATATTCAAGGTGATGAATAGCAAGAACCTACAGCCAAAGATAATCTATCCAGCAAAGCTATCACTCAGATTCGAAGGTCAGATAAAGAGCTTCACTAATAAAAAAAAGCTAAAGGAGTTCATCACCACCAAACCAGAATTATATGAATTGCTGAAGGGGGTTCTTTCAGAAGAGAAAGTAAATAAAGATAAAAATTATGAACAACAAATACGTAACTATCAAGTGAATCTAAAAACCAAGGAAACTAAAAAAAAAAAAAAATCTGAGGAACAATATTAACTGTTGAATATAATAGAATCAGAGGTATGGAAGGGGAGTGAACTGTTTATTCTTGGGGAAAAGGGGAGAGGGGGATGTGGGAAGAGACTGAACATAAACTGTGCACCTATGGATGAGGACAATGGGGGGTGGGGAAAGAGCAGAGGGTGGGGTGAGAAGGGGGGAGAAGGGAACATTTGTAATAATATGAACAATAAAAATTTATTTTAAAAAAAGAAAAAGAAAAAAGAAAAAGAGATACAGTTTGCTCTGATAAAAGTATCTGCTGCTGGGGCACATAAAAAGTACAGGAAAAAGTAAGTAGTTACTGACATCCTTAGAAAATCTTCTGACATAAAATTCTCATAGTGAGCAGTTGTCTATGGCTACATATACCCGATATCTGTTGAATAGCTACTCAGAATACTTGATATCAGTCTCAGCTCTGCCATTAGATAATATAGACAAGTCATTTTACCTTTCTGAGTCTATTTCCTGATGAGGCCTATTAAAGATGTGGAACTACATCTAAAACATTGCTTTTAACTCTAAAAATTTTAAGACATTCTAATGCCATTACTATACTTTGTGAGATACCTTCTAATTTATCAGAGCTTAGCATGCTCATGCATACATTTAAGTACATTATCTATTTTTTATCTGATATCAAAGCAATGAACCACTAGCAAGATATTAAAGATGTAATTTAATCTAGCTCATCAACATTTGAAAAGATAAACAGAAACATTGCTACCTGTGAAGGAGAAAATGGTAGTGTTTTCACCGGTGTGTGTTTTAATGCTGTATTACTGCCATCGCTGAACGTGCCATCGCTAAGTTCACTGCCTGGGGACTGACCCATTCGTGTTCTTCTCTTCTTTCTGAGAATGGTTGGTGGAGTACTAAACTTGGCCACATTTGGGGATGTTAAAGGAACCGCCTCACTTTCTGCACCACTGCAACTGTTTTTTTTCCCTTCAAGTACAAGGCTGACATTAAACTGACATTCCATGGCACCTTCGTTGTGCTGAATTCGCATCAGTTTAACTGGAGTGGACTTGACAGGAGAAGCAGTGGCACCAGTAAGATCAAAGCTGGTGACATCACTCCACGCTACAGGATCCTGCAATAAATCAAATTCTTTGAGTTATGTTGCAACCTAGTGAAATCTGATCTTGAACTTGGGATAATTTCCACAGTTAACTAGCTACTAATTTTTCTCAGTAGAAATAGGCTTTTCTTTCCTTGTTCATTTTTTTTTAAGCAAAAGCATTTGAGAGGAACAAATTATGGTTTTACTATGACTCTAATTTGGAATATCCCAAAATAATATTCTAATTCAGTAGCTGGGCAATTTAAAATGTCAAAGCATTTTAGCCGAGACCGGTTTGGCTCAATGGATTGAGCGTTGGCTTGGGGACTGAAGGGTCCCGGGTTCGATTCCGGTCAAGGGCATGTACCTTGGTTGCGGGCATACCCCCAGTAGGGGGTGTGCAAGAGGCAGCTGATCAATGACTCTCTCTCATCGATGTTTCTAACTATCTCTCTCCCTTCCTCTCTGCACAAAATCAATAAAATATATATTAAAAAATAAATAAATAAAATAAAATGTCAAAGTATTTTAAATAAAAGGAACAAGTTACTGTACATTATTAGAAAACAATTCATCATAAAATTTCACACTCTATTCCACATCAGAAAAATATTATCAATTTCTACATAATCATTTGGGATTGTGTACGAAACATCTTCAAAATGGTCATACACTTTGATCCAAAAATGAAATTTAACCTAAGCATAATCATAATTTTGCACAAAGCTTTACATAATACTGAAAAACTAAACACCACCTAAATGTTTAATAATAGTATATTGCATAAATAAATTTTGTTACATACATATGATAGAATACTATGAAACAATTCAAATTTAAAAAATAGTTAAGAAAACAGGGACATGCTCATGATATAATGTGGGGGGTTATATAGAAGCATAACATATAAGTGAATCTTTGGCTTTAAAAATATATGAATATCTATGTTTTATATGTATAAAACACAGCCTGAAAGGAAATACCTTAAATTATTAACTCTTGGCTTATGGAAAATTTTAATTTTCTTCCTTATAGTTTTCTCTGGTTCCCAACTATCTCTAATATATTTAACAAAGAATAAATTGTTAAATTTTAAATTTTAAAAAATTCCATACAAGGTACATAGTTGAGAAAGATTTACATTTTTTTTTTCCAGAGCGAAATTATCAGAGCGAAATTAAGCATGTCAAAGTAATGCTTAACATAAAACTGGTCAGTGTCCATTCAACTGAGTTTCTAAATAAAACTATGTAACTGAAATTGAGCTTTTGATAATCTCACAATTTCAGACTTACAGATTCAATAAGTTCTAGAGTCTCTGCAAATTCTGGGATGGTCTGTAGAGAGGACAGCACAGCATTTGCCTCCACGGCCAGGAACTTTGTGGGTGAATTCTGCTGAGCAGCCATTGTCTGATTTTCATCCATACTGTAAATCTCACTAGAGTGCTCCTCGAGGCTGTTTAGAGTATTGGATGTGCTATCATCCATGAGGAAACTACCAGACCAGCTAGAAAAGCTTCCAGGCTGCTAAAAGCACACCAAAAAATGTGAATGTTAATTGTCATTTCAACCTAAGCATAAATTTATATTTTAAGTAAGTTATTTTCTAGAATAACATACTTCACATTTCAGCTGTAAATATAGTAGCAAATATACTGTCTTTCCTCAAAATTGAAAATAAAAATTTTCATTAAACTTCATATCTTAATTCTATTTATTTTTTCTAAATGTATTTTTAAATTTACAAAATCATAGTGAGATAAAACAAGCATGTCCAAACTCTTAGAATCTGGCCTCTACCTTTCAAACTTCATATCCGGAAAGATACTTCCCTCTCCCAGGGAATACCCAATTATAGTACTTGTGATTCCCTGTTGAGTTAGTCTTTTACCCCAGAGTGCCTTTGTTCAAACTGCTGCTCCCTAGAATGTTGACCAACCTACTGACCAGGGAAAACTTATATTCCTCATTTAAGATAAAACATTGGAAAGTTGCCGAAACCAGTTTGGCTCAGTGGATAGAGCGTCGGCTGCGGACTGAAAGGTCCCAGATTCGATTCCGGTCAGGGACATGTACTTTAGTTGTGGGCACATCCCCAGTAGGGGGTGTGCAAGAGGCAGCTGATTAATGATTTTTCCTCATGGATGTTTCTAACTCTCTTTCCCTCTCTCTTCCTCTCTGTAAAAAATCAATAAAATATATTTTTTTAAAAATTGGAAAGTACTCCACCTGACTACTTTTCACTACTGTTCCATCTACACTAATAAAAGAGAAGGATACAAATTGACTATACCTTCGTGATGCCCACCAGCCAATCAGGGGTGTGTATTCAAATTAACCCAACAAAGGTGGCGGGTTAATTTGCATATGCAGGTGCCAAGTGGCTGGGGGCAGGGCGAGACGCAGGCCTCTGTGCAGCGTGGGAAGGCAGAAAGGCGGCTCTGGCCAGTACGAAGGCAGTACTGGCAGCCAGGGGAAGGAAGGCCCATTCTTGCACGTATCTTTATCCATCGGGCCTCTAGTTTATATTGACTTAGTTCACTTACTTTGCTGATATACTGCCTATCTTTTAAGTCTGAGTTCAAATATAATTTCTTCCAGGAACCCTGGCTACCTGATTCTCAATTAGACACCTCTCCTTTGTGCTCCTGTAAAACTTTGTGACCTATTTTTCCACACAATATACTGTTTCCTGCCTCTGTTCCCACTGCAAAGTAAATCCTTTGAGGTCAGGGACAGTGTCATTTTCTTTCTCTCTCCAGTGATGTATACCAGACAACTTACTTATCTTTTGAGCATAGTTTCCTAGTGTCCCATTAAAAAAAAAAAAAAAAAAAAAAAAAAAGGGAGAGAGACTTTGAAAAGTCATGATTAAGAAACAATTATGTAGCCCTAGCTGGGCTACAATTATGTGGCTCAGTGGATAGAACATCAGCCTGCAGACTAAAGGGTCTCAGCTTTGATGTGGGTCAAGGGCACGTGCCCAGGTTTCGAGCTTGGTCCCCAGTGCAGGGTGGGCAGACATGTAGGAGGCAGCGAATCAATGATTTTCTCTCATCATTGATGTTTCTCTCTCTCTCTCTCTCTTCCTCTTGGAAATCAATAAAATAAAAAGAAACAATATGTAATTTGAAAGTTAAGAGAGTAGAACCTAAGAGTTCTAATCATAAGGAAAAAACATTTTTTGTGCCTATATTAGATGATTGCTAACACTAAACTTAAGTGGTAATCATTTCACAACATAAGTCAAATCATTATGTTGTACACCTTAAACAGTGCTATATGTTCATTATACTGGGGGTAGGAGGAGAAAAGAAACAATATGTAAAGTGTATTGCACCGTCCAATAAAACTTTCTTAGGTGATAAAAATGTTCTGCATCTGAAGCTGCTCAGTATGAAAGCCATTAACCATATAGGCAACCAAAATGCGGTTAGTGCAACTAAGGAACTGAATTTTTAAATTTATTTAAAATTATTTTAGAGAGAACATTGCTCCAGTCCATAGGAAGCACTCAACCAATGTTACCTATCACTATTAAAAATAAAAATTGCGCCGAAACCGGTTTGGCTCAGCGGTAGAGCGTCGGTCTGTGGACTGCAAGGTCCCAGGTTCGATTCCGGTCAAGGGCATGTACCTTGGTTGCGGGTATATCCCCAGTAGGGGGTGTGCAAGAGGCAGCTGATCAATGACTCTCTCTCATCGATGTTTCTAACTATCTCTCTCCCTTCCTCTTTGTACAAAATCAATAAAATATATATATATAAAAAAAATTTTTTAGAGAGAGTATAAAGTCTAAATGTTCCTTTTTTCCATATTTTAATGTTATTACTTTTTCCAATTTACTGAATTCAATTGGAAATATAGTAAATAGGGAAAAAATTCAAAGAGAGAATAAAAGCAATTTTGGAGTGCATAAATCTCTATACATCTAATTATTTTTCAAGTTTTATTTGTCTTTCTACTAAGGCTTTAATTACATGGGATGTCTAAAATAAAACCAAAGCCTAATCTAAACTACACATCATTTTCACAAATATACATATCAAAAATCATACCTTAAATCTGCTTGACATTTATGACTCAAGAAGCACCTAATAGTGAACATTGTAAAATATGCTCCAAGAGATGCATATCAAAATCAGGCAATCTCAAAGGAACAAGTTAGACTATTCTTAGTCTTTATTAACATCTAAAGTCATACTGAATATGCGTTCCACTTTATGACATACGAAAGTCAATGCTGATGAGAACTATAAAAGCATATAAAAGATACTAACAATAAAATCTAAATACTTAACCTAATTTCTTACCGATGGAACTCGCTTTCTTCTAACTTCATTCTCAGCTGACATAAGAAGCAACTCAAGTTCCTTTATTTTTTTTTCCTTATCAGGATCTTCATCAACAAAGGGTTGCTAAAATAAGTTAAATAAGAGAAAATAGACTACTTACATAATTTATTATATTATTAGTGTTTTAATTTTTATTTTCTTCTACACAACACAAAATCTATTTTCTCTAAAGCTGAATACTACTAAATCCCAAATACCCAGTATCATAATCCCTCTGTATCTAAAGAGGTTGATGGTAAATATTTACAACTTAAAAGATTTGGAAAATTTAAATGCATAAAACATGTATACTGCATCATCTATATCAATTTAGAAATGTATGTTTTAAATTTATTGACTCTTAGTACATATTTTTAACCAGTTTAGCAAAAATATGTCCATTCACAACCTGAATGCATTAAGTTGGAAAATAAAAGAATCATCTTACTGGTGTTGACAATCACTTTACATTTGTACAATTTATGTTTCTCAAACCCATTTAACAAACTTTCTCCTTTAATGTTATAATACTCAAAGCAAATAGGACAGCTAGTATTGTTTTTGTCCTAGTTTTATGGAGGAGGAAACAAGCACTATTAGACTTTTAATAATGTTTGCATTTCCTTTGATTTATTATAAATAAAAAGTTACCTGAGCCCTACCTGGTTTGGCTCAGTGGCCTGTGGACTAAAAGGTCCCAGGTTCAATTCTGGTCAAGGGCATGTACCTTGTTGCAGGCACATCCCCAGTAGGAGGTGTGCAGGAAGCAGCTGATAGATGTTTCTCTCCCATCCATGTTTCTACTCTCTCTCCCTCTCTGTAAAAAAATGAATAAAATATATATATATTTTTTAAAAAGTTACCTGAATAAAGGCAGAAGTCTGAACATGTTCTATACAATTGCCTTCAGGTGACACATACTGATAGCCCGGGATCTAAGAATTAAATCATTAATACTTTAAAATCTGAGACAAAGCACAAAAACTCTTGACAAAATAGCTACATTAAAAACTCAGAAAGTATTTGTTAACTTTGAATGTCCATACCAACAATAGTTTCTTATCTAGTAACTACCACTCTGTCCTTAAGGGTTTACTAATAAAAAGTATTAACACTTAGGAAAGATCTATATTCTAGATGAAATGTGAGAATTACTTGGCCTAGATTTATCAGTCAATCACTCTATTGAATATAATATCCACCAAATATTTTTTAAGTCTGTTATTAGGAACACAAAGTAATTGTGTTCCTATCTTTCACAGGAAGGAGTTAATCCTTATGAAGCACTCACAGAGATGGAAACTAAAGCAAATTTTTCCACTTTCATATTTCCTACTCCTACTTCCACACCGTGGCAACCTTTTGGTAGAAAGATGAAAACAGAGGCTTCTTCTATTGCTTGTCTTAGAAAAAAAAGTCAAAATCATTCATGTACTTTTGAATATTCTGATAATAGATTAAGAATTATCCTGCTTTTCTAAAGCATCTGTAAATAGAATTTTAAAGTTGCATACAAATTTAATGTGCAGTGGTGGAAGGAAATATGCAAAGGTGTTTTTTAAAACCTTAATATCTAATAAGTCTAAATGTAATATTGTGTATTTCCCACAATGGCCTATCTAAATCACCATCTAATGCAGAATCATTATACATAACTTTTAACATTAAACTTAATTTTCACAATACTTGATTAGCATCAGTTATCACTCAATCCCATTGGTAACTCCATGGATTAGAAAGGTATCTTTCTCTAATTTTTCATTAAAATCTGTGACAGTATTTCAAATCAGTACATTTTTAAAGTAAAAATTAAAATTAACTTTTAGTAGTTTAAATGAACTACGTATACATCTTTCAATAATTATTAAAAGGAAACAATTCTTAAAGTACAAGAAATATCCTTATCTTTCCAATATATTTTTATTGAGATTGTTAAGCATTCCCTTACCCCAAATAATTTTTAAAATGAGTCAAAAGAATTTCTATGAGTTAAAAAAAAAATTTAAATAATCTTTCTAAGATAGAAATAGAACATTTCCGTTTGTATATACTGCTGAAATCTAGGACTCTAAAGAAAAATGTAAAAATCTTAAGGTATTGAGTATCAGCAGATAACTGTCTTCACATGTCTATTTGTAAATTAAGATTACATTACTTTCTTTTAAAATTATGTCTTTAAAAATGTCCATTTAACAGAAAATCAATTCTGAGGCATACTAAACATCATTTTTAACATAAATTTTGTCTTTGGAAGATAGTCAACTTCACTTTTACATTATAAAAAGATCCAAGAATTGCTCTACATGAAAAATGGCATGATAAATAGCTAGATAGGGAAATGTAAAACAAATCTTATTAAAACTCCTAATAAACAAATTTCTTACAGCTCGGAAAATGCACTCTAAGGAAAATAGAGCTTGCCCCATTATGAACTTGGATAATCTCTCCTCTAGTGAACTTTTTAAAATGAAGATTGAAGTTACTCAACTGGTTGGTTAGTTGGGGGGTAGCAAAGTTAAATGCCATCAAAGAGAAAATTATTTACTACACCCTCCAAAATGATGGCTTGAATGATATTTTACTATTTTCTCTTTTAAATAATTTTATATGCACTTACATCTTAGAGAAAAGGAATACTATAATTAAACAAAAATTCTTAGATATTAAATCAAAGATTCAAAGAATGATATTAGGAAACATATATACTAAATTATTAAACTAAATAATGTAAACATTACATATAAAAGGAAATATTTTAATGACTTTGTCCCTAAAATATTTATCAATCAGGAATGTAGAGATAAGCCTTCACTAATTTTTTAACAACTTATGGAGTATTTTTTCAGCTTGGAAATTCAAATATCTTTTCTCCTTTATATGTTGTATTTGTCCTATTCATAAAACCAATATCTTCCCATATAGCAACTAAACATTTTTTTAAATAATAAAAGTATTAAAAATATGTGCCTGAACAGGTATGTAAAATTGATTCTGGGTTTGCAAATGGTCCATTGTCGCACAAGGTTTGTGTTGGAGTTTAGATGAAGATCGTTCTAATTTTATTCCATCTTGTAAATAGCCCTCCTGTTCCACTTTTCTTCGCATAGTAGAATTCCAATGGTTTTTAATAGAGTTATCAGTCCTATAAAATGAAAGTGTATAATTTTAAAAGAAAAAGAGGATTCCACAAATTTTAAAACTGTATAAAATGTACAACGTGCATTTTACAACATTTATGTAAAATTACTTCTTTAATTAAAAAGATAAACTGTATGTTTATATGTTAGGCACATTCTAAGCACTGGAGATATATCAGCAAATAAGGCAAAGAAAGTCCCTCTTTCACGAAATTTACATTCTCATTGGAAATGCAGCAGAAGGAAAGTAGGAAAGAACAGAAAAACAAAAATCAAATATGCAATGTAGATCATTAAAGAAAAATTACAATCAATGTGTCTCATCCATGTTTTTCTTTCTCTGTCTCTCCCTCTCTCTAAAAATCAATGGAAAATATCCTTGGGTGAGGATTTAACAAATGGTAATTTTGATTAGGTGGTTTAGGAGGACCTCTGAGAGGTGACAGTGAAGCTAAGATCTGAATGACAAGAATGAACCAGCCATACAAGAATAGAAAAAAAGAGCATTCCAGATTAAGAGCATAGCAAGGACAAAGACCTTAAAGCAAGAACAAACATGATTGTGAAAAGCAACCACAAGTTACAGAATCCCAGAATACTTTTCCACTTCTTAGAACAAAATACTTATAGAAGAAAGTTCATGGGTTCCATTTTTACCTGTTTCTTTATATAAATATAAATCTTCAACCTACTCGTAGTGTAAATTTCATCTTTCATAAAATCTACATTTACTGAGAACCTAATTTATGTCAAGGTACTAGGCTATGTTCTATGGACAGTAAAAAGATGTATGAGGTTAAAAACATCAAAAGTTCCTAGGCCAACCGAAACTGGTTTGGCTCAGTGGATAGAGCGTCAGCCTGCAGACTGAAAGGTCCCAGGTTCGAGGACATGTACCTTGGTTGCGGGCACATTCCCAGAAGGGAGTGTGCAGGAGGCAGCTGATAATGTTTCTCTCTCATCGATGTTTCTAACTCTCTATCCCTCTCTCTTCCTCTCTGTAAAAAAATCAATAATATATACATATATATATTTTTTTTAAGTTCCTAAGCCAGATTCAATAACTTGAAAAGAACCTTAACATTGTGCTTTAATTTTCTTATCCACGAAACAGCATTGTTACTCTATTTCACAAATATATGAAGATTAAGAATATATATATAAGCATTTTATAAACAATGAAATATTATATAGAGATTACAATTTAAAAAAATGAATGCATATCTTCTAAGTGAGGTATGAATTTTCCCAAGGTTGTTGGTCATTGTACTATTAGGAAACATTTGAACCAGTGCACCGTATAGTGTACATACCACATCCCTGCCACTGAGGGAAATTCTACATCTGAGCCACATGGATATAGAAGGATGGACAAAAGTAGGTCTACAGTTGTGAGTACTCAAAACACAGAGTGTACCAAGTAGACTTCAAGAATGTGGGCAATTTGAGCACTTCCGAGATTGTACCTAAGTGCAGTGTGCCATTATGCCATTCTTTTGAATTATAAAGCTATTGTAATAATCATAACTTGGCCCTGGCTGTGTGGCTAGGTTGGTTGGAGCATCATCCCATATTCCAAAAAGTTATGGATTCAATCCCCAGTATGGGAGGCAACCGATGGATGTTTCTCTCTCTCACTGATGTTTCTCTCCTCCCACTTCCTCTCTCTAAAAACAACCAATAAAAACATATTCTCAGCTGGGACCAGTTTGGCTCAATGGATAGAGCGTCGGCTTGGGGACTGAAGGGTCCCGGGTTCGATTCCAGTCAAGGGCATGTACCTTGGTTGCGGGCATATCTCCGGTAGGGGGTGTGCAAGAGGCAGCTGATCGATGACTCTCTCTCATCGATGTTTCTAGCTCTCTATCTCTCTCCCTTCCTCTCTGTATAAAATCAATAAAATATGTTAAAAAAAATAAAATAAAAGTAAAATAAAACAATAAAAAAAGAAAGTTATTAAAGAAAATAAAAAAATAAAAACATATTCTCAGGTGAATTAAAAATAATAAAATTAAATCATAATCTGTATGTCTTTTTCCATATGAACTGTAAACCTCCTTTTGCCTATCCCTGTATACTTCTATGATTTGAATCATATCATAATTAAGAATTGAGTTTTCTCTAATGTACTTTAATAGCAGTTTATTTCAGTTAGTATTATTTGTTATTTTCTGGGCTTATGCATAACATCCAATATAAAAGAAACCTCTTCGATTTAGACTCCATTCCAACCAAGTTTATACAAAGATCTGCCTCACTGGCACTGATATATAAACATAATTTGGGGGGAGCAGTGCAGTAACTGTTCATAATCCAAAGGTCTATCTTTTTTTTTTTTTTTTTGCCCCCAAAAAAATTGCTATAAAATACTTCATTAAAAGTAATTATATCCTTACTACAGATATATTACAAATAGTCCCAAACGGTTGCTTGTATTATACAGTCTAAATTTTAATTATAAATAAATAAAAAAGTCATGGGGTACTTGCAAATATATTTAATATATTTGATATATTTAATATAAAGATCAAATTTAAGTACAGAAAAATGTATATACATTTATATAAGCACCTTCCAGGAAGTAGTTTGGCAATTTCTGCCCAACGATTTCCCAACCGCTTATGTGCTTCATAAATGATCCTGTCCTCCTCTTCTGTCCAGGAAGATTTCTTTACCTCGGGATTCAGATGATTATGCCATCGTTCTCTACACTGCTTGCCTATTCTTCCTTTTAAATGTTTTGCAATCAAAGACCATCTTTTTGGGCCATATTTCTGAACTAATTCAATAACCTAAAAAGTAGAAAAACAAAGTTTAAAAAACCCTTACCTTGAATTTTTAAAACATAACTCACAAATACTTTTTTTTAAAAAAATGCATTAAACCCAAGTCACAATTACAACTTAAAAAAAAAAATTTTGTCAATAAATACTGCTTCAGTATATGCTAAGTTCAAAGACTGACCCCAAACTTATCTAAAATACAAGGTACTAATTAAAGTGACTTGTAAGTTAAATTGTTTTCATACAAATAATTTAAAGTAGCTGTAATAGCCTAATAAATCAGTTTGTAAGTAGGATGTATCTACAGTTACTGTCTTTTCATTTCTTCCTTTCTCAAACAAAGGATCTAGATCTCACATTTTAAAACTTATCAAGTAAATCAAACCAGTTCTGAGCTTAATGAAGTACTAACTTTTTTAGTGTGTGGCAGTAAGAATATTCTAATTATTCAACTACATTAACAATTTTTATGCCATAAAGGACATGAGCTAAAGGGTAATTCCAAGTGGAGAACAGAAACTCTCCCATTCTTCTCTTTTATAATACAGAGAATTATCTTGGTTTTTTAATCATCCAACCCTTTGGAAACATGATGCTTTGATATCTATCTTATTTAGTGACTTATTATAGGTCAGAAGGAAAAACTGAGAATGTATATTAAATTATATACAATGCTATCAAATAAAATTGTTTTTAAAATGTTAACTCAATTTTCAAAAGAAACTATACCCTAAATGTTACTAATCTAAGCTCTAAACAAGGTGCTAAAATGATAGTATATTTTACTTCCACAAAGCAACCTCTCTGAAAGAAAATACTATACTTTGACTCAGTTCATTAAAAACTATTGATACATTCATGTCAAAGGCACATACCTGGTTGCAGGTTCAATCCCTGGTCCAGTCGGGGCACATGCAGGAGGCAATCAATCAATGTGTCTCTCTCACATTGCTCTCTCTCTTTCTCTCTTCTCTTTCCTCCCTTCCTTCCCCGCTCTCTCTAAATATCCATGGAAAAAATATCCTCAGGTGAGGATTAACACAATAACAAAAAAAGACACAACTTACAATTCTCATGCAAGCAGCACCCAGAGAACAAAACCAAAGTGACTTAAACATAGATTTTATGTGTCAAAACAATGTATTAGGAAGAAAAAAAAGCTAATCCATTTTTACAGTGGAAGGAAAAAAAACAAAACAAAAACATGAACACATTACCCTCTGATCTTCTTCTTTAGTCCAGGGGCCCTTTATCAATTCTGGATTTAAAACTTTCTGCCATCGATGCTGGCACTGAAAATCAGAACGATTCTGAAAAAATTTAGATGATTTGTTATTGGACAACTTTCTTCCAGAAACTAGTCAGTCCAAACTTATATCTCACAATCTTAAGAACAAAGTCTTCAAGAATAATGTATTTAACAGGAATCTTAAATATGTAAAGTTTCTTTTACATGCCTGTGTCCCAATTATTTTTTTTTAATTCAAGTAGTGGCAGGGCTTAGACTACAAACAAAAACAATATATACTTAAAATTAAAGTATTTGTCTCTACACTGTGCCTTGTAAAACAGCAAGCAGTAAAGCTATACAACAAATACTGTAAGCATTTTATGAAAAACTATTCAACAGACTTTTCTGATTTTTATTAATTATCAAGTATTTCAATATATTTAACTTCTTTCAAAATGTTTTAATACTTATCAGCAAATATTTATAAAGCCCTATCCAAACTTAGTATCATTTTTGTTTTAGATTAGTAATCTTTTTAGGCCCTGTGGATAAACTAATTACTAGAAAATCAGACTTTCTAAACTACTGGCAACTATAGGAGGACCAGTACGAGAGATGTTTTTAGGAAGAAAACCTGAATTTAAAATAATAGACACATTTTTAAAAACAGCAAATTTAACTCAATTGCCCAAATAATCCATTATATATAGAAATAAAATGTTTCACTTACCTGAAGATGACTAGAAATTAGAGTCCAATCGTCAGTTCCATGTTGCTCAACCAACTTCTTTAGCTTATCATCCTATTAAAATAGGTATGAACTTTAGAAAGCTTTCCCGCCCTATTCCTCTATCCCTTAGTACAGATAATTTTCTGATTGTTTCATGTCATATTTGGTGGCCATTTTAGGACTAAATCCACTATAAGTTTTCCCATTTACTCTACTGTTTCTGTCTCAATATTAATCCATGAATATGTCTCTGGCTGAAGAAAAATAATGTGCAAATTAGTTGATGGATAACTTTTTTCATGTTTTATTTTAAAATAGTTTTCATATCTATAACAGAATAAATACAGATATGAAATTAGTAAACTTTATCAGATAATCACCTCATCTCTTGTCCATTTTACTCTGTTCCAGAGTTTCTTTAATCCTTTTTGTTGGGGTACTTCATAATCATGATCAGCATACTGAAGGTCATCATCCTCATCCTCACTTATAAAAACACAATTGTGAAATGAAAATTTTATTTAAATTTGTAAATTCAGTCATAGAAGCTATTCAAACTAAAAAAGGCATATATCCAATAAGATTATTCAAAGTACTAAAAAAAACAAAAAAACTTGACATACACTGGAGAAGGAGCTATAGTTCTTACAATCAGAGATAAGAGTGGATATGCCACCAGGGTCCAAGTGGTAACCTTTATGTCATCCTAAGGGATTTGACCTTTATTCTTCATTTGACCTTTATCCTAAAAAGTTAAAGGACTTTAAGAAGTGAAAAAAAAATCACTATCAGAAATATGGAGAAATGAAGAAAGGAAGATCTATTACTAATCTTTTATAGTAAATTCTTATTAGGGCCTGACAATGATAATGGTAAAATACAACACACAGCCAGCTAACACAATGAAAGAAATAATCCTTTAGTAATACAACAAAAGTTAAAATATGTAGAAATAATTTGAATGTACAAGAGCAAAGTATAGTAAATAAGAAAACACTATTGTGAGACCCAAAAGCTTGAACTAATGGAAAAACATCCAGACCACATTCTTGGACAGGAAAACGGTATTCTAGATGTCCATTTTCCCAATATACTGTAGGGAAACAATAAATAAAACAGAATGGCAATGGAACATAAGCAGATACACAGATCACTGCAAGAGAATAGAACATTCAGAAAAAAACAAAACCCATTTGGGAATTTGGTAAATTATAACAACAACATATTAAAAATGGACTTTTTAATAAATGGTAAGACACTGGGTAGCTATTTAAAAAAAAAAATAAAGATCAAGTCCTACTTTAAAATAAAAAATTCAGATGAAGCAAATACTTTACATTTTTTAAATGAAACCATAATAGTACTATAATAGGGTAGAATTCTACTTTTTATATTATTGAGATCTAAATGTGACAAAAATCAAGAAACCATTAAGGAACAAACTGACTAAAGTAATGACAATGATCATGGAAAAAAGTACATGAAACAGATATTTAACAAGTAGAAACAAAAAGATTTTACAACTACTAGGTATGAGAAACATGGGAAAAGGAGGGATCAAGGAGGACTCCAAAACCCTGGCTTTGGGAGCATAAATAGAGCTATTCACTGAGATAAGGAATAGAGAAGGAAAGCTGAACTTTGAGAGGAAGAAGGGAATGGGGAGAGTAATAAGTTCTGGACTAGCTGATTACAAGGCACTTAAGAACTACATGAGAAATATAGAAGTATATATACATACTAGAGGCCCAGATAACACCATACTGAAGTTTTCTATCCAAATTGTACGTACTCACATCTAATATGTTCAGCTCTCAGCACCAAGTACAATACCTGCCATTCAAATATGTATGTGTAAAATTAATGAATGAGCTTCCTTACTCTTTCACCTCTTCCAAGTCTCTGGATTCTAAAATTATCTCACAAGTGGATATGAAGAAAACTTTTAACAAATGAAAATACCTCTAGGAGGTGAAGGGCATTCCCATTTGTTAAAAAGGACTTCCAAAATCCAAATTTACCTCCAAGTGGTATAACATAAAAAACAGAACCTGCTAAAACAAATATGAAAAAAATATATATTCAGTACAGAAGGGTTTCTTTGGGGTGTCTACTGATGTTGCCAAACCTTTCCTAGAACTGTCCCCAGCAACATTACCACTTCCTGCCACCCAAACAGCCCTCGGGTGTGCCTTTCACGGCTTTCCCTCTTCTTCCCTCCCTCAACCCCAACAGCTGCCACAACAGCATTTTAAAAATTAGGTTATTTATAACTCAAAACAACTTTCAACTTGGGGAGTTGCCCATACAAATCTTTAGTCACATCTACATCCTATCTAATATGTATGAAAGCCACCTTAAGGTTCTTATAAAAATATTTGAAGGGTATGAGTCCAAAATATTAACTTGGGTCCAAAGAGTAATTTTCCTGAAAACTCGTTCATTTTTAAACTTTAAAATTCTCCCTTATTTTTAATCACATACGTGGTCTTTGAGAAATTTCTATTTCTACCATGGGTTTCATTCTGTTTTGCATCAGTGTGGTCATCAGTTTTCAGGCCAAGTTGTATAACTCATTCAGTGTTCAGGAAGTTGGGTTTTTGAGTGGGTGAATGTGAGAGAGCATTATAGTAGAATTCTTAGAGTCATCTCCCTACCACTGGGACTTCCCTAGCTACTTCTTAGTTTTAGCATGAAGTTATTTCTGTATTATTTAAATTATTGTTGAAAAGATTGTATAACTTTTAAATAAGAAATATGATAGAAAAATATCCTAGAAACTTATTAATATCACAACAGAAAGATGGCTGACAATGCTAACAGTTTGCCAAGAATAAAAGGAAAGGATAAAGCCTCACAAGAAACCTCACCGATATTCAAATTTCACCATTTAACAATGAAAAAATAAATTCCATTGCTTACTACTCTGCTCTATTTTTCTGATTTTTATAACATCATTTAACATTTCTATATTATAGCAATCAATGCTGGTAAGATGTACTAAATATATTCAACTTCCTACTGTGTAGATAAATAAACCAATTATAGCCTGGGATGACTAATCTAGAAGTCAGAAAAAAAAAGAAAAAGAAAAAAAAAAGGTGAAATTATTTCTACCATCACAAAGCAAAAATAGAAGAGTAATTTGGTCTCAGAATTTTCATCCAGGCTAGGGTTTCCAAAATCATTCTGACAGTTTTAGTGTTTGAGTTAAAGAAAAAATTTATGTAATAACTGTTAATACATTATCTGAGTATTATATTCAAATGGAAAAGGTTTGGTCAATTATGAATGAATACAGTGATCAGGGTAATTATGAAACAGCAAAATGAAGCACACACACACACACACACAAAAAAATAATATGACTCATTAAGCAAGAAAGATGGTTAACAGTAACTTCACACTGGGGTGTAAGCTAATATGATGTGACAGTCATTTATGAAATAATACACAAACTATTACTCATACTTGACAACGCTAGATAAAACATCCCGGAGAAGTTCAATTTTTTACACCACCAATTATACCACCTAAAGAGAGTAAAATGAGGCTGCCAAAGAAAAATTTTGAGAATTTTAAAAATTTTATTTTTATTTGAAAACAAAATACTGGTTTGAAATTGGAGAAATATCAATAGTTTTACAAAATTTTATGTAACAAAATACATCTTTACTAAACTGTTTTTACAGAATAACAGTGTATTTTTTATAGCCCAATTGAATTCCAAGTATAAAAATTTACCAGGTTAATTTAATGTAGTGAAATCAGGCCACCCAGTGGTAAATATGATGTACTGCATACATGAATATTTTCCCCCCAAAATCTTGACTTAGCATCACTATAGCAAACAAATTTGACTTTATTTGACCTTTATTAGTAGCAACAGTGAAGTAAATACTTATGAGAACTCTCCTAACTATTCATAAAGAAAAAAACAATGTGAGTGTATTTCTATTTTATTCCATTAGTGGGTATATATTTTTAAACAAGAAAAGATTATTACAAAAGGGTTCAAAATAGGATATATATTAAATTGGAAGTTACCTTACATACCATAAGAGTCAAATCCCTTATAATAACAAATAAACAACTGGGATACAGAGTTTATTTGCTTTCTCCCCCCCCCCAAAAAAAAATTGCTAGTTAATGACAACACTGATTTTTTAAATCGTTTTTCATATTTCAGTATTCTTTCACCCAAAACACCCATTTTGATGGGGACAACATAGTAAAATAGCTTCCTACACACACGTGTACCCAACTGAAAACATCTTCCAATTTAAGAGCTGGCTTTTATCCTTTCAGTTTAGTGTAATCACAGGCCATATCAAGTGTAAACAGGCCTTTTGGCTTCTAAATGACATTTTTTAAGTTTATACTTAAGGGTAGACCTGGCTTTAAAAACTAAAATTAATTACTTAATACATAAATGTGTTTAAAAATAAAAAACATGTTAATAACAGATATGCCAACTTTAGTACTGCCTACAAGTTGTCATTAAAACCTGCAGTAGGATCTAAAACTATTTGAAGTCACAGCAATAAATGAGCCTTTTCTCTTATGTATCATATATATAGATATAGCTATTTTAAAGATCAAATAGAGCTAACATCCTTCAGCTGTTTCACACCTGAGGTAACAGCGTTTTACTTTTTTTTTCAAGATCATACGGAAAAAATGTATTACAGGACTTATGCCTATATATAGTCTTATGCAAAATTTTTATACAGCAAAGTATACTTTTCACTGAAATATTTACATGATGGTCTAGTGGAGACCGTAAAGTGACTACATTTCCTTTCTCTTTCAATTATAAAATAGGTTAATATTTAATATTAAGATATTTAGTCAAAAGACATTAGACTTTGCCCAATTATTATAATATTATTCGCCTTCAAATATTTCATGGTCTATTGCCTTCTAAAATGAGTAAGTCACACTTCCATATACAAGAAATATGGTTTAGAATACTTAACATTCAAGTGTGAAGACCCTAAGAAAATACACTATCCAGAGATAATTTCTCACATCCTCTACCTGAATACTCCCATAGAGTGTGCAACTTCACTCCACTATATTTAATTACTCCAGACTTATGACTCCTTAAATCATTCTATAATATACATTTCAATTAACTTATACAGCAAACAAGGAATAAAAGTCAATTAATGTTTAGATCTCAAAGTTCACAGTATTGTCAATGAAAGAAAACTTACACAGGCAAATTAATGATTAATTTCTTCTTTCTTAGTCCTTTATTATGAAGCATACACAAAGTATGAAGCAAACAGAAAACCAACTGGAGAAGGCAGGCTGCTGATATTCAAGCATCCATGTTTAATCTTAACTAAATGCTGGTGACAGCATTAGCCAAGAAACTATTTTGAATAAAATCAACATCAGTACTGATAAGTAATGCCACACATTACAGCACTTGCCACGTGCTTACGGTTATTTTTATTTTAGTTTAAAATAGTTGTATATTCAAAAGAAAGGGCCTAACCCAGTACCTCAGTAATTATAATTACAGGAACTTTTAATATCTATCTTTTCTGAAATTTAAGAAGTTAATGGGGTCCTTGACAGTCCAAAGCAGTGATTCTCACCTGGGTGATTTTGCCCACCAATAGACATTTGGTAATGTCTGGAGATCTTTGATTTTTTCAGGGCTGGAGAAAGTGGGTGTTACTGGTACCTAGTGTTTTTGAGCCAGGGATGTTGCTAAAAATCCTACAAAGCTAAGTCGGCCCCCCAATACCCAAAGAATTATCTGATATATCAATAGTGCCGAGGCTGAAAACCCTGTTCTAGAAATGTGGGTTTATATGTATGTGTATACATTTGTTCCACCTCAAAAGTTTGACCTACACTGTAGCTGCTACAAACTAATAGCTAACAAGGACTTATATTTTATGCTGCTTTTTGCAAAAACATCTTACATACAGCAGGTGCCTTACAAATGAATATAGCAACAAATGTTACTTGTAATAATGACCAATTTATAACAGAAATCTACACTGAATGAATCCTGATACTAAATTTCAACTTAAGAAATACATCACTAGTTAAGACTTTTGAGGTTGGGGATTTAGAAATAAAGCCATTCGGAAATAGTGCCAAACATCTTTTCAGGTTTATTAATATCACAATGAAAAAACAACCTAGTTTTTTTCTTTTAAGTGATTTATTCACACACACACACACACACATACATATACATATATATACATATATATACATATATACACATATATGTATATATATACACATATATATATATATATATATATATAAATTCATCCTAGCAATTTTTTTTAATGTGCCTTACCTCTGTGCAAACTTAAGATACGGTCAGAGCCAAACATGGACACTCAAAATATTAAGTGAATCCAACACATTGTTTTATTTTTTAAGATCAAGCTGCTGGTAGTATTTAGTGTGACATCTATCTCCATGTGTATATATATTTAATAGAGAGCATATTAACTATATATACATAGAACTGAGAACATGAGTATGGTAATGACAGAAAGCATCCTCAAGGTCCCTCCTCTCTCGGCCACTCAGCAGATTTCCCCCAGCCCTTCGGGTGGCAAGGGAGGTAGGCAGAGGGGTCTCCGCCCAGGTTGGCCACCGAGTTCCTATTTTAACTGGCGGGGATTCAGAGAGAAAAGGGGGCCTCTGAACACCACGTCCAAGGCGTCCCGGCACAACACCGCCACTTTTCTCTGCGTGGCAGCGTCTTCCCCCCAAAAAAAGCATCTTACCTGGTCGGAAACTCTACGCCAAGGAGTGGCTGTGAGAGATGACGGGGAGAACCCACTCCCAGGAGCCACTCTCTGGCTCCCAAACACACTGGTCCCCACCTCTGCCCACGTCACGGCGGTGCTCGGTGCTGGGGGGCCGGCCGGGCCGGGCGGCCGTGGCGGAGCCCGCGGGAAGGGAAGGGAAGGGAGGGAGCCCTCTGCCCCGGGCCGGGGAGGCCCTGGCGGGGGAAGGAGAGAGCATCTGGGGCGGGACGGCGACGACAGACCTGGGCGAAAAGGGATGTCACCCACCTGCGCGACCTCTTCGCCATCCTTCGAGTACCGCATAGGCGCGGGCTGGGCGGGGACGCAGGTCAGCCTCCTCCAGCCTCAGGCGAATGCTGCTTTTTTTCCCCTCCCCGGACCCTCCCGCCCGCTGATTCCCCGGGCTCCCTCTCCCGGGCCGCCGCGCCGCGGAACGCACGTCCCCGGCCGGCCGGGGCAGGACGGAGGGGCGGACAAGACACACACAGCCGCCGCCCCCCCCCCCCCACCTCTCCCCAGGGTCTGCAAGCGCCGCCGCTCCTACCCCCGGACCAGCCCAGTCAGGGATGCCCCCAACATGTCAGCAGGCGCGCTCCCGCCCTCCGCCGGCCCCTCCCGCCCTCCGCCTCTCAGCCTCCTCGCCTCGGGGGCGCCGCTCCCCGCAGCGAGAGCAGCTCTCTGCAAAGGCTCGCTGCCTCCTGCAGGGTTTTGTCCCCCTCGGCCGAATCTCGCGCCCAGCCTCCCTCCAGAGCCGCCGTTTGAATCTGCGCACGCGGCCCCGCTCCTCATTGGCTGGCGCTGGCGCACGCGAGCGCAGGGGGCGGGGCTCGGGGAGCGCGCGCGCGAGGGGGGGCGGGGGCGGGGGCGGGCCGCCGGGAGCCCGGCCTGGAACTCGCGGGAGTCGGGCCGGAGCCGGGAGCACAGCGGGGAGGGGCCGGTTTTGGGGGGGGGGGGGCACCGCGGGCGAGCGCTTCCGTGACAGACCCCGGAGCGCGAGGAGGCGGGACAGCCGGGGGGCCGCGCGGGGCCTGCCGGGAGGAGAGAGGAGTTCACGCGCTCTCCCGAGAGGTGGGTTTGGCAGCGGCGACCCGAGCCCACGTTACCTTCCCGCCCCCCCCTCCCCCGGCGTTCGCGGGTGGTGTTCCCGGGGAGCGGAGCTGGGCTGGCTCGGCGGGTGGGGGCGTCCCCGCCGCTGCCTTGTCTGGGTCACCGTCCCTCACTCCTCGGGGTACCCCCCCTCCGCCATCCCCGACACTAGTCAGGAGGCGCGGAGTTTGGACCGGAGACGAACCCCACCATCCCTTGGGGGCGGCCGTTACTGTGTAAGCACCCGTAGGAGCTCTGTTCGCCCAGACGCCCCAACCCCGGGAGGAGCGAACGTCTGTGGCAGGAAAGTGAGTGTCACGGAGGAGCAGGGGTGTGTGACAGGTGAAGCAGGGTTGTCAGCGGAGGCTGCTTGGGACCCAACAGGGAAATGGAGATCACCTAGGTGTGTGGCGGGCTTTGGGAGCGTGGGAAGCCGCTGAGGGGCGCTGGAGGGAGCCCCAGACCCGGGCGGACGAGGCCGGGAGAAAAGAGCGGGCTGGGAGCTTCGCCCGGAGAAACCTGCACGGCGGCCGGCGGGGGGGAGGTGACCTTCCTTCTGGGGTCGGGTCGAGGGGGGGGGGGGAACGGGAGGGGGGGAGCTGCACCGAAAGCACTCGTAGCAGTTACAACTGCTTCAGAGGTTGCAAATTGGTAGCTGCTAACTGCTCAGTTGGAGCAGCGTTCAAAGTAGATTAACCACAGGGGATCATTAGGAAAGGTGGTTAAAAAAAAAAAAAAAAATGTCCAGGTTTGATAGGTAACATGCTCTACTGCAGAGAGCACCGTCAAAACTGTCAACAGACGTACATTTTGCTATTTTGACATGTTCCGCATCGCTTTTTTTTTTTTTTTTTGCAAATCAGATTTTTTGCAGGTGGCAAAATGTGGATTAAGACGCGTGTTTGCATGCACCGCTTTCAAAATCTAAAACATCTGCCTTTTTATAGAGTACCTTTTTCTCAAGGTACGGCTTCTGGGAAGGAACGTTAAATAGCTTTTTTAAAGTCATTCCTTACTGTGTTGCCGGCTCAGTTTTTGTTTCACTTCATTTAGAAAGAAATGTCATTTGGAGACAGTGTTTTCTTATTTACTCCTGGGTCGCTTGTTTCTCTGCTTACTTAATATCCTAACAGGAAGCAGAGTTTCTGCTACATTTTAGGTTAGTTCAGTCTTATATAGAATACCTTGTTAGAGCTTGAAGGCAGGTATTTTAGATTTTGACATTAAACGAAATCACCCTCCTTTTAGAGGTAGAGAAAAAACATTCGTCAGAAAGATTGTGAATCAGCCGAGACCGGTTTGACTCAATGGATAGAGCGTCGGCTTGGGGACTGAAGGGTCCCGGGTTCGATTCCGGTCAAGGGCATGCACATTGGTTGCGGGCATATCCCCAGTGGGGGGTGTGCAAGAGGCAACTGATCGATGACTCTCTCATCGATGTTTCTAACTCTCTCTCTCCCTTCCTCTCTGTACAAAATCAATAAAACATATTTAAAAAAAAAAAAAAGAAAGATTGTGAATTAATGCACATCACTTGTTAAAAGTGTGGATTTAAAATAGTTCAACAGTTGTTTGAATACAAATACAAACATAACCTGGGAGTTGGGGGCCTTTTAGCAAAACACCTAATAAAGAGGTTTTATTCAGAACATATAAAGATTCTCAAGGCTCACTAATGATAAGAAAAATAATTTTAACGGGGGGGACATTAGAACAGACACTTCACCAGAAAAGATATACAAATAAGCCACATGAAAAGATGCTCCACATCATTGATCATTAGAGAAATGCAAATAAAAACCGCAATGAGATACTACTACATAGCTCTTAGAATGGGAGGAAAAACACTATACAAGTGTTAATGAAATCTGCCCAGGTTCCTGCAGCCCCGTGCCTGCTGTGGAGGCGGGACCCCTGGCCCCAGCCTACCTCTTTGGGGCAACCCATCTAGGAGCCCCAGATGGGTGGGCAGGGCCTATCTCTTTGAGGTGATTGATGCGGGGCTTCTGCACTGTGAGAGGAGGGCACAGGCCAGGCTGAGGGGACCCCCCCCCCAGTACAGAATTTTGTGCACCAGGCCCCTAGTTAGTAAAGAAATGATCAGGAAATTGCACCTTGCTCATCTTTCACATGGCTGCACCTACTTCTTCATAACTTCCTGCAAAAACCAAATACTCTTAGGGTGTGCGTATGTTAGTTGGAAAAGTGTACTCTAGTTTAATATGGCTCCTAACAGGCTATACTTTTTTGTTGTTAATATTTATTGATTTCAGAGAGGAAGGGAGAAGAGAGATAGAAACATCAATGATGAGAGAGAATAAATGATTGGCTGCCTCCTGCATGCCCCAGGCATATGCTCTGACTAGGAATTGAACCATGACCTCCTGATTTATAGGTCGATGCTCAACCACTGACCCACACAGGCCAGGTGAGACTGTTCTTGTAACCATTCCCATATGTAGATTTTTGTCTCTTCTATTAATTGTTGGACCCCAGACCCTAGAATAGTGAGACACCAGATGCTCCATAAATACAATAACTCTAGAATGAATGAAAAGGGCAAATAACAAACAAGCATATAAATATTTATGCTCACAAGGGACCAGGAGCCGCAGCAGGAGGGCCTAGGTGGGGGGCATGGAGGATGGGCTGAGACCCACCCCTGTGCCTAATGCAGAAATAATTTACCAGCATACCACAAAATCCTTAAAGCAAGACTATCCTTCATTTGTGGGAAATGTGACTTCCACCAAGATATGAATATGTGTGCTTCTTCTCTTAAATTCTAATCTTTCTACCTCCCAATTTTAACACTTACACTCTGGCAGGGACAATAAGCAATCTTGCTTTTTTTTTAAATCCTCACCTGAGGATATTTTTTTATTGATTTTAGAGAGGAGGAGAGAAACATAAATGTGAGTGATCAGCTGGCTCCTGTGTCCCAACTGGGAATCAGACCCTCAACCTTTTGGTATACTGGATGATGCACCAACGAACTGAACCACCCAGCCAGGGCATCTATCTTGCCTTTTTTTTCAACCTCTCCTCTTCTAGCCTCACATGTCCAGGCATTCCCAAAGGGAACAGTGAACTTTTAGGGGAAATTTTAGGGGAACAAGTAGTCATTAAAGGCCATGTACTGGCATTCAGTATGTTGGTTCTAGGAACATAAGACTCTGGCAATATTTGAGACAGTTCTGCACAAGGCAGGATTCCCCCGAGTTTCATTCAATGTTCAACCAGATAGTAAAGTAAGTGAAAACCCTGAGTGTATATTTAAGCCTGGAACCAGTTCCTTTTTGCATATAATCACAAATGCATAAGTGTTAGGGGTAGTGGTGAGGGGAAATATTGGACTGTTTTGAAATATAGTATTTTAAAAAATCACATCACAAGGTAACACAGCTCAAGGTTTTAAGACACTAATTACAGCCCACTGCTATCTGTATTTGTAGCTATTGAGTCCATATTAATTCTATATATTTGTTGGCTGGATTACTTGTACCTGAGAGTAACTTTATTACCTTTTCTGTTTCTCCTCCAAAATATAGATAGAGTACTAACTTTGTTTTTTAAATAATGTATAAGTTATCTATGAATTTCATTATAACAGGACACAGGGAGTAGAATATCCTATATAATTGAAGACTAATATGCAAATAGACCGAAAAGTGGAACAACCAAACAACTGGTCGCTATGATGTGCTGACAACCAGGGGGCGCACATGGAACATGGTGGGCATCAGCCGTGGTGGGATGGTGGAGCAGGTGAGCAGGGGCGCCAGACCAAAGCAGGGCACCAGTCACTGCCATCAGGGCGAGCCTCTGGTGGTTACTGAAAATTCTTTGCTTCCACGCACCTCAGTCCCACTGGGTGCTCACACCCGCTGCCAGAGATGCTGCTCCCACCCACTGCCAGTTCTCAGAGCCAGCCCCGATCACTTGGCTCTGTCACCAGATGTGAGCAGCAGGCCCCTCAAGAGCAAGGGGAGGTGGAGAAGCCCTGAGGGGTAATCGAGGCTGGCAGCTGCCTCTCACACCCTTCTGCCAGTGATGGCCCCATTCATACCCACTGATGGCACCGGCCCCAATTGCTCCACAGTGGCGGTGGTGGCAGACCGGGGACAGGGGGCGGTAGGAAGGGCCAGGTGGGGGCGCAGAGGAAGGGCCAAGAGCCGCCCCTGTGCCCACCACATTCTTGCATCCCACAGTTCCTTTCAAAGTGCATGAATTCATGCACTAGGTCCCTAGTATTATTATAAAAAGGGATATTGGCTCCTGTAGGGTTGAAAATATTGATCTAAATATATTTATCCTTTCATCCAACTATCCCTCCCATCCATAATCCTGTATCTGCTATCTTCTCCCTCAAACTTCTTCAAAGCTGTCTTAACTTCACTACCTACTTTTCATTCCTCTTGCTTTCACCATGCCATGGAAATCATGGCTGTAAAAGGCACCAAACCCTGTTAAATCTGCTGGACATTGAAGAAAGAAATCCATTTTCATTTTACCTGACCTTTCTATAGCATTTGACTTCATTACTCTCTTTTATTTAAAACTTTCATTCTTTGTTTACTATAACATTAACCTCCATGATTTCTACCCCTCAAACTCCTTTCAAGCCTGCTCCTTACATGTTGGCATTCCCAATATTGCATTTTTAGTTTT